ACTCGCTCAATGTGCGCAATTACCTAAATGAGACGTTTCCAGGACGCTGGATAGGACGAAGAGGTGCAATTGAGTGGCCCCCTCGGTCACCCGACTTAAATCCTTTAGATTTCTTTCTCTGGGGGCACATTAAAAGCAAAGTTTACAGCACTCCACCTGATACCTTGGAAGATCTGCGAGGACGAATCATTAATGTATGTCGCGAAGTAACACCGCAAGTGCTCCAGAATGTTCGACAACGGTTTGAAGACAACCTGTATCATTGTATGCAATTTGGCGGACAACATTTTCAGCATTTACTTGACTAATACCGTAAGTTTTGAAGTAAAATTAAATCGATTTTCGCATGTCTCGTCAAAAATATTGTTCGTATTTTCAAAGCTGCATATTTTCTAAAATAATGAATGGATTTTCAAAAAGTAAGAATCGATGTATAGAGAATTAAAAGCCCTTTCTAATGACCCCCCACTTGACCCCCATTCCCATTTGAAAAAATTTAGGGGATAGCACCCCCACTTAGGGGGTTGAAGATTTTAGTATGCTTTTTGAGCCAAGTGTCCCCCTCAGAAACAAATTTGTTCTTTACTACCCTGTAATGCCTTGCGGTACGTTTTCGATGGGCTACCCTGTATACAGATATACACGTACATACATATGTACACACATATTTTGTTATGCCTAGGTCAACATTTTCGTTTCGAAGAACAATGTTGCAATAATGCACAATTCCGGTTCATTGTATAATAAGAAAATATTAGAAAAATACTGTTTTTTACAATAGAGTTCGACAAAAGATCTTTCTGAAATTTCTCTTTCAGTTATCCTTTTGATTTGAAACTGTTATATTTTCCAAATTGTTTATACTCCATCTGTTTACGCAAAAGTAAGAAGTGAAACGAGTTTAGGTTTTATTTCTTTTTACAAATGCATTTTCAAAATTATATTTTTCACAAAAGAAGTAGAACCAGGTTAGGATTTCAAGTCACGGAATACTTGTTGTAGGTTTTCGCAATAACCTTAATTTATAGGATACTTTTAGTAATTATTAAGGGCGGAATAAGAGTGTTGCTTTTCAAACAAAGTAGATAATGTTTTAAATTCTTTTATGTAAGTAACCACCAATCCTATATTTACATATATTTGGTAGCAAGCATAATATCCTTTTTTTTCTATTTCTATATCGACCAAAAATTTTGGTGATATCGATGTTTTATTGTGGGCTCCAAATGGGAGAAGTAAACCAAAGTAATTCATAAAGAAAAATAAATATATTTACATGTGTATACATTCTTTTTTTTTGTTTAAGGAACATTGGAAATCGTTGCTCCTTTACGAATTTGGTAATGTGGAGCTACTTGCAGTTTTTTAGGTTTTAACTGAGGACTGGTGTAAAGTACAGTTTATACAGGCACGAGGATTATATATACATTCTTTGATACTTTGATGCTTAATGGTGATAAATCACAAATTCCTGGGGATAGAATTTTTATCACCTCAGGACATCAGAAAGATTATAGCCATTAATATGTACTAACCCTAGCCCTACTAAACTTTGCTACTAACAGCATGCACAATGCGTCACAAGACCTAAGGGAAGCAGATTGCAGCACCGCTTTTTCCTTAATGATGGTGACTGCGCATGCTCAGGTACTCATGACATAAGGAGGGTGCAACAATTAAACTTTTCTATATAAATATTATTACAGAAAAAAGAGAAGCAATAGGTTTACGTTTTCAAGCTAATTTAGATAGAGTACCATTGGGAAATAAAAGAACTGTAGCTATTTGAAACGTTTTGAATTTCGTCCTGATATTTTGTTTCAGAAACATCAGTGACTATTAGTATGACCGAAATTTTTACTTTGGACTTTAATTCAAATTCAAGTCAATGTCCAGTGACATAATAGCTATAAGACACATATAAATGTAGTCATCTATTTCGTGATATTTGATGTATACTTGTTATATAATTGTGATATTAATTGTTGCTTTGATTTGTGAAAACCAAATTTTTCTTTGATTCATAGCCCAAAGAACATAGCTATAAAGTTACAGTATGTTACATTCTTAAAGGAAGCCGTTTTTTACAACTTTGTCTCTGAATGGCATTGGTATATGGCCATTAATTGAATACCTCTTCCAAGTAAGATGCAGTTGCCAGTTTTTGCTATATTCATTTTACTAATTGGTTTAATATGTCCGTGACAAATTAGATTAAGACATTCATTTTCAGCCAAAGGAAGCAACTAAATGTCTGAACTTATATTTTAAACTTCTAAACATCCTTTTGATTTTGTCTGTCGTTGATGTAGTTTTTAGATAGGATTATTTCGATATATATTGCTTGTACTAATATAATTTGTGTATTATACCTTGAAATGGCATGTAGTTCATCTTAACAGATGCAAACTTTTTGATTTGTTTGGCCACAATCAACAAAATTCCATACTTCGTAAATTATATATTTATATGTACAGGCATATACCTAGATATACACTGTAAATAAATCGGTCTGAGTGAAATCCATTGAGTGACATTATTGAGCACATTTTCAGTCAGTACTGGGCACCTTGACAACGCTACACATTTTTGATAATATTGGAACCGATAGTTTTACTCATAAAATTTTAGTTGTATTTACTCATAATAGAGGAAAATTTCACTCAATCGAGTGGACAGAAATTGATACATTAATGAGTGAAATTGAGTGAAAATAGGTCAAATGTTCCTTACAGTGTATGTTTTTTAACTTTTATAACTTTCGTACGCTTCTTAGGTTGTAACTCTGGTTAATATTAACATTTTATTAATACTATCAGGTTACTCTTCATCTAACCTAATATTTCATTTAAGATTTCGTTACGTAATTGCTTCCTAATACTTCATTGAAAGTTTCCTTATTATCACTTAATTTTGTCCTCTCCTCAATTGCTATCTTTTCATACACTGTCATAATAAATGAAACAGTATGTATAAAAAACAAAACTTGATAGTTTTTTTTTGTTTGTTTATATACACATACGTACATGTATGTACACACCTACATCTATATAGATTATTTTAATCAAATAAAATATATAAGGTGTTATTAGCAAAACTGCGTGTATAATTCACATTAAGTTTCATTGTAGAATAGTACCTACTGAGTGACAAAACAATGCACTCATTTTTAGATTTCATGTACTCTATTTTCAATAATTTTATCTTATCTACATCCTTTTATAAGTAAAGTAAACTCTTCTTCACATCGCTCTTCTTATCCATACTGCTCACAATTTTCGCCCCTCCCCCTTTGTTTTTTTGGTATACTCTCTTAATTTTATTACTCGCCTTTTACACTGTTTAATATGGCGTAATTATCTCCAGGAACTCGTACTAAATACGACAATAATTTGTTGAGCACCTAATTCACTCTCATCTGTAAAAAGTTGTAAATTTCTAATTTTTGTTAGAATTAAAAGGGAGTGGTGAGTATTAGTATATACTAACTCACTATTTTGAGTAAGACCCCGTAAGAGTAAAGAAGGGGTTAACATAACTCCGATCTATCTCTAAAAAAATTGCATTATATTTGTACATAATTACAATTATTATTATTTTTTTTTTAGGAACACAGTACTGCTTCTGAAAATATGTAGCTTTAAGCAGATTATTTAAATTTTGCTATGTAAGCAAGGAAAAATTATAATAGGAAGCCTTTAGAACGAAAAATCTACTTTGCGTGTATGCAGAGGGTAAAAATAGCAGTAGAATTACGCCCAAATGTCTAAAACATGGGTGACATGGTTAAAATAACTACTAAATGCTTAGAGATAGAGATAGACTTTGCATGTAAAAAGAGTGAAACCCACACTTTACATGTTTCATAAAATGCAGACAAAAGGTCAATACGACTAGACCTTATTTAGTCGAATTAAAGCCCCAAAATATTCTGCAAACAAATTGTCTGTGGTCAAAACACCAAAACTGCTAAACCCTTTTAATACAGTCAAAACGACCGTATACTGCCCCAAATATTTGGCAAACAAAAAGTTTGCGGGCAAAGTAGTTAAAACAACTACGATATAACTAGCTAGACTTTCCATTCAAGGGAGTGAAAACCACTCTCGACATGTCACATGGAATGCGGGCAAAAAACCAAGCGGCTACGCCCTATTAAGACGGTCAAAACGACTGTACTGTCCTAAATATTTGGCAAACAAAAAGTTTGCGGGCAAGGTAGTTAAAACAACTACGATATGGCTACCTAGACTTTCCATTTAAGCGGAGTGAAAACCACTCTCTACATGTCACATGGAATACGGGCAAAAAAATCCAAAGCGGCCACGCCCTACTAAGAGGGTTTAAACGACTGTATATTCTGCAAACAAATGTTCGCGGTCAAAATTAAAAACAACTACAATATGACCAGCTAGTGCTAGACAATCCACTTAAGGTGGAATTTGCATTTCAATTAGTCTAAAAACTCTGCTCTGCGTGTACCATAGTATACGAGTTAGTATTATCAAGTCAAGGGCGGCTAACAGAAAAATTTTAATGAAATACCTTCTCATATGAAATGGATAATTAAAATAATATTTCCCTTACGTGTGACTTATCTCGGATTCATGGAAATTCTTTTCTTTTGCATAAATACACTACACAAGGCATAATGATACACAAAACAAATAGGACCTGCACGTGCGGCACAAATAAATGAACTGGCTGGCTATCAATAAGTCGTAACGGACTGTTACGAAACACTTTTTTCTTTTGAACCTGTGCGCGCGTCATGTATAAATGAGACCTACCAACATGAATCATAGAAGAACGGAGATGCGAAAAATAATTAATGGATATCGTATCATATGTATATACCTACTCAGCTTCTAATTTTAACTGGAAAACGTTGTTTCGAATATACTGTTTCACGTTTTTGTGCTAACCTTACCTTACCTTACCATCGCACTATTAATAATGATTTTTTCTAAAATTAAAATTAACTGTTTTTATATACTAACCATGAGAAACCACTCCTTCTTCAAGCAAAGCCTGCCACATACCAGCAGCTTGAGCTCTTGTATGTATACTCGGTGACAAATTTAGTAACCAGTCAACCAATTCCATTCCAGGAGCACAACGTCGAACGAGCCTTCCCGATACTTTTCTATCCTTTAAGCATGTGTTTTGGGCTGAAAATAAATAATTATTAATTATCAGTAACACCTTAATTATGAGATATAAATTATGTGCATAGACATACTTAATTTGGACACAGAAATGCGCAAAAATTACATACCAAGCTTACACCGTAACTTTTAGGGTTAAGCCGTTTGTGGAGTTAAATAGGAACTCAGGACATAGCAGTATTAAATGTACAGAGTATTCATCAAGAAGAAGAGAACACAGCTTAACCGTCAAAATAGGGTCATTGAGTTAAACATACCTTAATCAAAACAAAAGTTACATCGATGATACATATTTCGAAAACTGAAAATACTGTAGATTGCTTTCAAATTTTACCGATACACCATACTAAATAAGAAAAAAATATACCTATACTGAAATTTGGGAGCTATTGAAAAAATACATACTCTATAATTAAGAAACACTTTAGAATCGAAGTTCTTATACACTTCTTTTCAAATTTCAATTGCTATCTTGTGACAGCGAAATTTGAATATAATTGACGGCACTTTTAACTTTAGGAATCTGTGTCGTCAAAATATATAATAATGCAAATTATCAAGATGAAACAAGGAATTTGTGTTTTTTGCATTACAATTACGCTCTTCATTTTTGTCATTGTAAATGAAGGGAGTACCATTCTCTTACGAGATTATTTCAAGCTGATAATGTACCTGTACCGAGTTTTATTAGGATGTGATCAGTCAATTTGGAGTTATTACAAAAATTGCTAACTTATTTTTGGTATTGCATTTTTATGCATTGAAATTTATAAAATACTTTTACAGTATAGTCTTCCCGAAATCAGTTGAACATGTATAAAAAGGCCTAGCAATAAAATTTAATGAATTTCACAGGCGTTCCTAAAAAAGTTTTCTGCTAAAGATAAAAAATAATATTAATTTGTATATAATGTGTAGAAAATTTCTATTATATGTTCATTTGTCCAACAACATATTTTAATTATTTATGTTCCCAAACAATTTTATTATATTGATTGTCAATTTTGGATATGGCATATCAAAAAACATTTACATTTTCATTAAAATATATTACTGCTTGGTAAGAACCAACTGGAGGTATGAACATATCCTTGCCAGGAAAAGATGAGGAAAGTTATTAAATAAAAATAATCAACGATAAAATAATTCCGTATTGCTGCACTACACTCCTAGGCAAGTTGTCAACAACTGAAATTTATAACTGGCTATGTTTGTGCGCCGTTTGCCCGCGCGCATTTTTCAACTGGGCGTATACATTTCTACCACCTTCACATTTAGTTCGACCAGACCTGTATATGGGTATGGCCAAATAAATAATATGGGAACAAGTTTTTCAAATCTTTCAATGCCGAGTTGCTGCGTAGCGACCGAACCTAATATATACTGCCTAGTTCTTTGGTCTTTAATTGAGATCAGAAAGACTATACAAGTAGGATAGTATAGGATGACAAAAAGCATACTTACATAATAGTAAGGTTCTCAAGGACCATCCTATTCTTCCTATGATCGTGCTTGGAGATTCAGTAATAGGTTCTGCTGGATTTGGCTGATCGGGAGACATTGACCTTCTCGGTGGAGGAGAGACTGGTTGAATTCCACTTTTAGCAGCCATAACAGTCGATCCGAAACCTACAAATGATATTTAGGTTTACAGGCTTCCGTAGCAATTATTGTCAATGGTTGAACAATTTTCGAGTTGATTGAGACTGTAGTTGTACCCAGTTTAAACCTTTAAATTACAGTGTCTCAGGCTAGCAGTGTTTTGTGTAAAGTTTTGTTTCGTATAGATTAATTCATGTAGAGTCGAAAAGCGGTATTAGTTTTTTATGTACTTTTAAATAGGGGAAACGCAAAGTTATGTATAAACAGATACAGACGCGCAGTTTGGACTCTGCTGTTAAACCACAAATACGTTTATTTAGTTGTAATCAAGATTTTAATTTAGTTACTATTACTATGGTATAATAATACGAGACATGGTTTAGCACGCTAACTTAAAACTATTCAATATTATATAAGATTTATTTAACTAACAAATAATGGAGTGAACATTATTCAACGAATAGTAATATTATTTCAACACAATTGGATGTGGACTCGTTTTAACAAAAAAATGTTCTGATTTTCAGTGAAAATTTACTCCATTTTTTTACGGTGTAAGATAAACTAATATTTTTTAAAATAGGAATTGTAGTTAATTATGGTCCAGATTATTTGACAATTCTAAAAACCAGTAGAAACGATTAGTTGCAATCGTACATCTTCAACGTTCGAACTAATCAGAACATTATTATAGTGAAAATAATCTGTTTATATTATTACCGCGAGAATAATGCGAAGTATTTTGTTTTATTGAATTACAACATATTTTTTGTTGACGTCTGCCATCACTTTGCAGAATAATTTCAAAAATGATTGAGAACATCCTTAGTGGATAAAATCAGTAATAAAATCGATGACAATATATGTAAAAATATTATAATAAACAATGTGTCGATTTGGAGGCAATTTTTTATCAGTTTCCGAGGAAAGAGGCTATAAACTATAAACACCAACAACAAAATCAGCCGATATTTTAAAGGACTAAAAATTTAATATGATAAACCAGAATGAAGACGACTCTAAAAAAGCCGCTATTAAATAATATAAAACAAAATTGACAAATTAATGTATGGAGCTGAATATTTAGCTAGAAAACTGAATAAAAATATCTACTATGTAAAGGAACCAAATCTTCTGTACGTCGAAAACGTAAAACAGGTTTATTCAAATATTCTTCAGAAGAAGAGGCTACGTTAGTGTATTGTTCCGACGTTTATGACGAAGTTTGAGTGGAGTTGATAATGGTAATAAATATGATACAGGTCTAACAGCACACTCAACAAAACAAAGCTATGATAGTATGAAGTATGCCATAGGAAAGAATAAGATATTCATAACCAATTTGTGGATATTTGAAAATCGTTACAATTATCTTGAGACAGCAATCAGAATTTACCAAGTAACCCTATTTTCTGTGTGTATGGGATGAATCACTATTAGCAAATCGGCCTTATCCAGGAGATCTAAATTCAGTATTTTTTAATATTGCTCTAGCGCCTTTGCTAGATTCATCCAAAATTCTGCTTCTTTCACTATACACCAAATTTGAAGAATAAAACAATTCATTGGGACCTTGGACAAAGAAGGTGAATGTTACGGATCCCGAAATGAGCTAAAATTCGTACAATGTGGCGTGATGAAGTTTTTGTATTAAAAATGAATTAAGTCGAGAAGGCTGCATAACAAGGTTTCAAAAGTTTAAGCAAAACTTTTCGGGATATTTCTATATTATATTTTTCACTGTTTATATTTTGTGTAACTGCGGTGATCATAAAATATTACTATTAAAATTATCATCATATGGGATTCGCGGTTTGGCTCTGAATTGGGTTATCTTTTATATTAAACAGAGAGCAATTTGTTAATGTAACCCATTATAAAGATGGAATTGCGAATAGAATAAATTCGGAGCATGCGTCTGTTAATTTGGGGGTCCACAGGGTTCGATTTTGGGTCCCATATTGTTTTTGCTTTATGTTGATGACGCTTGTTTAACAATGTATGCTGATGATACATCTCTATTAATTTCTCATGTAATAGATGAGTCGTTACAAATCAAGTATAATAATATACTTAATGTCGTCGCAAATTCGTACGCAGCAAATTATCTCTATTTTAAAATCAATAAAACTCATTAGATAAGATTTCATAATTGGCAGAATCAGTGTGCAGGGCTATGATGTATAAACATCAATGATATCTCCATTTCTAAATGTAAGAGTGCTAAGTTTCTGGGTTTGCAACTGGACGATTCTCTAAACTAGAAGGAACAATGTAATAATTTAACATCGAAATTACATTCACTGTGTTATCTTTTTCGAAAATTGAAGGGTGTACTATCGTGGGAAACAGTCATGGGCCTCATCATGCACAAGTCAGTTCTAGGCTGAGATATGGTATCATATTTTGGGGAAATTCTGTAACTGCGAAAAGCGTATTTGTGGCACAAAAACGTATTCTTAGATATATAGCAGGTGTAACAAGTAGACAATCTTGTAAAAATATTTTTAAGGAATATAAAATATTAACGCTTCCGAGCCTCTACATCTTTGAATTACGTGTTTTCTTTTTCAATAACAAAAATCATTTTAACAAAGTATGTGCTTTGCATACATATAAAACTAGAGAATGGAATATTTTTTGTGTGCTTTATAGTAATTATAATGTATCTGTAAAGTCTCCTTTTGTGTTTGGACCCAGGGTGTTTAATAACTTGCCCTTGGAAATAAATATGATTGAGAATCTTGTTAGATTTAAATCTATGTTAAAATATTATTTAATTGACAAATGTATATATAACATTACTGAATTCTTTTAGTATAAGAATTTATGGCTTTTCTATTCCCTTTTTGTGTATTATTGACTATTCCCATACTTTATTATAAAGGAAAATAAAGGTTATTTATTTATTTATTTAATAAATAATTTTATTTTTCCATGCGCCAAATTTAGCGACAATCATCTAACTTTTACAGTTTTGTATAATTTGATAAGTATTGAAATGAGAAAATCAAAACCGATTGCCTCCAAATTTGCCCATAAATTTTAAAACTTATTTAATAATGATTTCTAATAAAATATATTTCAATACCGCTATAAAATATATTAAACCTGAAAAAAACAGAAGGCCTAGGGTTAATTGATCACATAGGCATATCTAGGTCTAAATAATCTAAATAACAGCCCCACAAAAAAATTCTGTATATAGATCTTGTGTATTTTTTGATGCTCTAGCCCAAAAACCAATCTACCAGGGCATTTTTAAGTAAAACGCTAAAATATCCCCCAAAATACGGAGAAATAGAGAGGATAAGGTAAAGCTTTATAATGAAAAGCAACAATTTTTAAATACTTTGAGAAAACATTTTAAAATAATATTTCGAGCATTGGAAAGAAATATATCCAAATTAAATCCACACCCACCCCTACGAACGAGTTAATTCTGCGTCTAAAATCAATTAACGATTGTTAGTGCAAAACAATGTAAAAAACAATAGCCTTGTATTTAATACTACCAAATATATAAGAGTAGGTTGGTAGGCAATATACCAAAAAAATGTAATATAACATTCTTCAAAGGGTTGAAAATCACCTACAGATCAGGGTCCCATTTAGTTCTTTAAGTCACACATTTTTCTGTTCAATATTTTTGCCTGAATTTTGCTACCGCGTGTTTTTGTGGTCTCTGATTACGAATCTAAAGTCCGAATCCGAAAATTCCTGGACAAGAGATGGCGGAACCTATATAGCGCATGTAAAGATCAGAAAAGCATTCAAAATTTGAAGATTATGGCTGAAACTTGTTACTCGGTGGTTTTCAAAGTCGCCCATCAGGAATATAAGGTTTTATCGAAATTTTTTAAATACAAAATGGCGGCTCCATAGTGGCAGATTGAAAATAGATGCCATTCAAAAAATTTATTCTCTAAAAAAAAAAACGATGATTATTTGGCTGAATATTCAACATACTTCTGTTTTATAAAAACATTCAACTTGTGATATTTGCTAACTTCATTATTTTCGAATAGACGATCAACGTAGATTTGATCATTGAATATTGCGCCCACATAGTTGAACACATTTTCGTGAATAAATAATGTACCACAGATTGCAATTATTAACAATAATTTGATAATAACCTTTTGTAAAAAACACCTCAAGAAAGATTCTCCCGAACTTGTTTGTACTGCATTTTCTGTCTTTCAAGCGCTGAATAACGAATGTGTCATAAATTTCTTTAGATTTTGGCATAAATAATCTCAAAGATGCAGCTTCGGCTTTTACTCGAATATTTTCTGACAAAGATCTTCATCGCGTTCTTGACAACGAAAATTTGTCCTTGATATTTTCCAATCATTCCTATACATGCTCATTATTTTGCTTGTTTCAAGACCTAGTACCTACCTAAATTTAAATTTTAGCAGTAAAGTACGGTTCAAATTATTTTTAGTTCAGGAGACATTTTCTCTAAATCATTAGAAATTTAGATTCAACTCAATTTTCCTTATTATTTAATCTATTGCTAATACTAACAGAGGTACACTTTTTTTTATTTAAGTGTATATTGTTTTGGTTCGTAAATCTATAACTTTTGCCACATGGCCGTTGTTAGAATAACGAAATATTATTTTCGTACAGCAACACCGACAAAATTCTGCCATAAATATTATGATAAACACATTATTTAAATGGTGCAACTTTACCTGTAATATTCTCTTTAGATATTAAACAAATCCAGAATATGAATTCTTTGCAAGAAATTTAAATTTATATTGGCTTCCGTTTCTCCGAAAATATGCCCATAAATTTTCATATTTATTAGGAATGAAGGATCTGCTTCTAAACTCATGTGAACTTTATTATGCTTTTATACCACATACAGAAGCAGCAATGAACGTGATGTACTGTATTTCAAAAAGCATATGCAATAGGCAGAAATAAAGCAATAACTAATCGAATGATTCAGAAAGGAGAAACATGTTTGAATTATACCTAATTTTGGAAAGGCTATTTACGCAGACGATTTT